AGAAGCGAGCAGCGAAGCACATGGCGGCAAAATATCGTGTAATGTCGCCGACGAACATTTTCTCGACCTACTCAAAATGTACATCGTTCCGACACTTTTACCGGGCCGTTTCTTCTTCAGAAATGTCTACAGAATCCAATCCTGGGTAGAGTTTTCGTGCCGAACAAAGAACTTTTCGTAAAAATACAAAAATATTGCGGAGAAACTGCGCACGTCGACACTTTTTTAAACTTTGACATCAATTTATTGCTATGTAGGACCAAAAACAATTAATAAATTGCATTCCACTATATTCGGGAAACTCTCCTCTATCTTCTAACACCGATTAGAAATTTCTAACGTTTTTACTTTTCATGCAATACCTCATTTTTGTCGAAAATTTTGGGTTTTTACAAAAGTTCGTTTATTTAAAAAACTGAGGGTGATGGCTATAGGAACCTAGAAGAAAAGTTTGATTTTATCGAACGGTGTAATTCTTAAAACAAGATATCTGCCGACGTTCGACGCGAATTTCAATGGAAAATCACCGCAACCGACTTTTGTCAATCGACGCTCCCCTTTAATTTCCGGTAATATGCGTCAGTCGATTTCAATGAATTTTTTCAGCACGTGTTACAAGTCACCGAGATATCTGGAAGACGCATTTTTTAACGTAATTTAAGTTAATTTTTGTTTTAACTAAAAATTAAATTTCATTACAAGCCCGGGTCAAACGCTAAGATCGCATCATTCGAAACTACAACTAACGAAAGCTAACGAGAAAGACCATCATTCTTTCAATTTTGTTATCGTCCGAAGCAATTACAATTTTTAAAAACAATTTTTTTTAACAGTTGTCTAGTAAACTAATCACTCTAACATCTCGACAAAAAAATTCGATCGTTTGGTACAATTATAAAACAAGTTAAGTTTGGAAAAGAAAAAGGTATTTAGTAACGTTGAACACATGTAACACTGCCCCCCCCCCTTTACGAATTCTGTAATTAAAAAATCTTAAAAGATTCTACACCGGTGGTATATCTCAACCAAGAAAAAAATATCGGGAAATGTTATAGAAAGGCAGGGGGCAGGGTGGTGATTATGCTTTCCCATAACAAAGCAAGTTTAATGTATGTATATACAGGGTGTTCCAAAAATGTCTCGCAATCCGGAAATGGCGGGTTCCTCAAATCATTTGGAGCAAGTTCTTCCTTTACAAAAAATTTCTCCGAGGCACCGTTAACGAGTTATTAACGAAAAACAGCGACCAATAAGAATCGAGTACGGCTGACGCGAGGCGGCCTAGCCAATCAGCGCGCGAAGCCCAGTTCCGCTTATTGGCTCGGTCGCCTCGCGCCAGCCGAGCTCGCCTCTCATTGGTCACTGTTCTTCGTTAGTAACTCGTTAACGGTGCTTCGGAGAAAATTTTTCTAAAGGAAAAAGTTGCTTCGAATGGCCTGAAGAACCCGCCACTTTCGGATTGCGAGATATTTTTGGGACACCCTGTATATATATATTATATGTATATATACGTATATATTCATCTGTATCTCGACGTAAAATGCGAGACGTATTTTTTGACGTGAGCCAACATTCGTTGCAGTCGATCGAGTTTATAGCTAATTTATACAGGGTATCCTAGGTTTTAATGTTCAAACTTTCTCAGTATATTCTATGGCACAAAATAAGAAAAAAATGTTATGTAATCAACTAAAAAAAAAATAAAAAATAAAAAAAAATCTTCGATCGATGTCAATCATGTATTGTCAACAACGGTTATTAATACATTTCGAAATGTATTAATAAACACAGCTTACATAAACACACGGCATGTGCTGATCTGTTCAAGCCAATGTGCTCGCAGTAACAGCAAATTGATTACTATTCCTATTCTGAATTTTTATTATAACTTCTTAATAAAGCTCTATATGACCTATGTTTACATAACATTTTTTTCTTACTTTGTGCCATAGAATACGCTAACAAAGTTTGAACATTAAAACCTGGGACACCCTGTATAATTCACTAGACGAATGGCAAATTTTCTCCTCCCATCGAGAACAAACTGACTTTCACTTGTGCCTTAATCTCTTTTATTTACACGCAAATATATTATATGCATACGTTATGTATATTTATATATTATGTATATATCACTGTTATATTGCTATAACCCTTGAGATTTACACATACAAGCTACGCTCCCGTCGACGCAAACTGCTTCGAACTTGTCCGGTTCCATCCGACGACGTTCTCTACAGTAATGTCTCCCTAATTGACGCTCAGATTGGCCACAAAAATGGACAATTTAGGAAGAGAAGAAGACACGATTATTCGAGTCTTGCAGCTCGTTTTTATAATTGTTGACAATTGGACGTCAATAAAAACGAGTTGCAAGGCTCGAATAATGGTAATCTCCTCTTCCCAAATTGTCCGTTTTTTGTGGACAACCTGAGAGCGTCAATTAGGGAGACATTACTGTATTTACTTCTACCTCTATCCTCCCGTACTTGATTCGCGTAACAATATATCGCGTTGACAATGCGTGAATCGATTTGCCAATAATCCCAAGGACGTTTCAATCTCGGAATAATGAGCAAGCACGGCGATTTATAAACGAGATATCGAAGAGTCGGAAAGACTGAAAATGCAAGATAACGATAACATAACAATATAAAGTTAAAAAAAAAAAAAGAAACGTGCGATGTTCCCTTTCTACGATCCGTTCACGCGGCACTTGTGAACAAGAATATTCTCGCGTTTCCTCGTGAAATCAATGGACAAAAGATAGCCGGACACGATTACAAAGAGTTCGATTGCAGCAAGATCAAGTAGATAGGGAACAAGGAGCACGGTAATTCACGCTGAGCCTGTTTGCCAAGGAATACGAGTAAAGTCGTCGTTTGTATTCACGTGTATCTTCCGATGATCTCCAATTGCCTTATTTATTTACATAAAATTCATTCAATAGTCGTAATATCAGTAACAATATAAATTATTAATAATCGCGTTTCTTGCGGAATGAATCGCTTTTGGACCGATATCATGATCCTCCGAACATGTCCAGGCAAATTATTCGTTGTCGCGAGGTCGATCGATTAACCCGGTCGATTAAGAGAAAATGCTGCATCGATCAGGAAATTGTCGGAAAATTAACGGAAACAAAATAATATGATCCGAAGGTGTATAAAGTTAGTTATTCGCTGCCTCGATGATCTTTTCTGGAACATATAAATACTTAAGAACGATACTCTCGAGATTGACCGAACATTTTCAGTAGATGCCGTATACGAGCCTGGCTGCACACAGATACGACACCGTGCAGGCATTGATAATAAAGCACAAAGAGACTCTCCGGGACAAGTCATTTGCTGTCTGCTGATTGCACGATTCAAGCAACAATATGAGCCGTTTATTTTGAAAGTGGCATAAGTCACTTTACCGTAATGAAAAGTGGTGATTTTGTAATGTTTATACAAAAAAATAAAAATATCATATAAATATATAATATTATAATATTATATATAATGTATAATATTATAATATTATAATAATATTAAAATATCATATAAAAATATCAGTATCCTGAGATAACAAATACAAGTAAATCTTCTCGAAAGTTATAGCATCCATATTTTGAAACGTGTTAAAACGCAAATCCTTAAATATCTCGACTTAAAAACAAAGTGACTTGTGCCATTTTCAAAATAAACGGCTCATACGAGAGACTGCGTCTCGAAACTTTCACTTTCACTAGCTGCTCATGGCATCAAATCGCGTATAAAAATGGCCATCTATTTGTTGGAGACCTCAAGATGGAATTTTGAGCATTGCATGACGACAACACGAACACCACCTCGTCTACAGACTATTTACATACATCTGAAGGCTGTTCACGTAACACAACACGACCGCCATACCGTCGAAATCAGCAATTTTTCAAAATGTGTAGTCACTATACGTAAAAGTTTCATTTCGTCACATTCTTCAGCCACGAATGCTAACCTGATCACTTTAAACCGGGTATAGAGCAGCACTGAATACCTAACATCAAATGAATTAAATAACAAATGTCTTATAAATATCGAATGTCTTATAAGTTGCAAAATATAATCGCCAGAGAGTAAAATTATCTAGGTCACGAGTACCTAAAACAAATCTTGTTCAGTGAATTTAAACAAATAATATGGAATTTGTTTATATAGAGTAACTTTTTCGTATTTGATGGTAAATTTTTACATATCGAGTAATTCGATAATGATAACAAAGTTGTATAATTGAAGCCGAAACTCTCATCCGTTCATGAATTATCATGCATATCGTTCCCAAATTAATAAGCTTAAAATTTAAAATTACTACCATACCCGGTTAAACGAGATCATATCTTAATCCAGATAATTAAAGAGAGAGTAAGATGGCGGTTAGCATATTAACACGTTGAATGCCACGCTGGTTTTACAGAAATTGTCCGTGGCGCCGCGATGAATTTTCTTTTATGTGATACATATAATGTGTTGAAATATTATGTGCAATATTATCTGCAAATAATATCTGCAAAACAGTGTATAACCATGTTTGACATGTTAATTGCGACAGGGGTCACTGTTTGAATTGACGATGGTAATAATACAAAATTTTAGATACTGACATTTGTTTGAAATTATATATATTTCTATCCATTTGGGCGCGCCCGTCACCGCCAAGTTAGGTGCCGGTCACCGGTGACCCCCGTGGCATTCAACGTGTTAATCACAAGTAAGCGACGATAAAGATCAATTCAGGATTCGAAATAATCTATCGCTTCGCATTCATAAACCCACAATTTATAATGAGTCTTCCTATTTGTTTCCGATTCCTAAATTGATCCTGTAGTACTAACCGCACAACGTGAAATACCCTGTGCAATAAATCGAAAACGCTTCCCTTCCTAATGAAATCTGTAAACCGACGTACAAGTTCCAGGATGGAATTCTCTGAACAACGGCGCGCTTAAAAATACAATTTCTCTCTCTCCCCCCCCCCCCCCCCCCCCCCTTCTCTTTGTCTCACTCTCCCTACCTCTTTCTTTACAAGAAGTTAACGTTCCAATTCGCTTATTATTAACTTTTCTAAACGTGGTCGAAGATCATCATGTATTATGCAGAAACGCTTTAAACTAACGGAACTTTTAACCGTTGCCGCGCGAAGTTTTTCTCCCCTCCCTTAAAACAGTATAGATAAGCTCCTTCGCTTGTGTTTGTGTTTTTATACATATGCGTTCGTAAGTTCCATTAAAAAAGTTTATTACAAAACAATTAAAAGAAGCAGAATTATATAAAATATTTTCATCAACATTGGACAGGTAAGAAAATTTCATTTTGTGTTTTCCTTCTTTACGAAAACGTAAAACCGATTCGGGTTGACTCCGCTCTCCGAAGAAATGCTCCAACGCGCATTGACACTAAAAGAATTTTCATCGCAGGATCGATAATTAATCTCGTCGTATTATATAAACTCGCGTCAACGTCATTGTAATGCATGGCATCTTGGAAATGCTTCTAGTTTCCGCAGTTCGGTACAAAATATTTACTATATGTACAGGTTGCTCTCTCTCTCTCTCTCTCTCTCACTCTCTTTTCATACGACTTTTACATATATATCAACAGCTTCCTGCCCCCCCCCCTCCTCCGCCCACATAACGACGTGAACCTAACTGTCGTCGTATACTAATCGATATCATGTACATTTACACCACTGCTCAAACATTTGGAACACCCTTCGCATTCCCATATGACTTGGTCTTAAATGACTTGGTCTTAAATTAAAGTAATTACTTTACCGTGAATCACGACTTAGGCGATTGCTAAATAGCTCACATATCAGTAGGACCGGTGACCAGAAGATTTTGTGTTACCGGTAAAAAAAAAAGGAGATTTTTGGTCTGGCTGTGTAACTTTGATGTTTTTAAAGATTGAAAGATACCCCAAAGTTCTGAGCGATAGCGTATAAAATTATACCTCTATAAAACAAAAGGGAGGTCGGTGATACACAAAAGCTTTCATGTAAGTGCTCTAAGCAGCCTGTCTAATCGAACTGTAACTTACTAGGATTAGTGAAGTGTGTCAGTCTTGAGCCACTTTCATAAAAGCTTCCAACATGTATGCACAGGTCTTACCTATACATATACATATATATACTCGAAGTTATTCGAAGTTTATAATAGTGTCTTGGCACATTTCTCCTAACACGTAAATATTATATTCATGTACGTAATATATGTGTTCACTGTATCCGGTGTGTGACTTTGTGTGGATGTGTAATTTAAATGTGGACGTTGCATGTTGCTTGATTTATGCTATCACCAACGGTTCGTCGTCGGAGAAGCCTCGAATCACGGGGCTATCGTCCTCCTCTGAAAATAAGAAAAATATCATTAAATCATATATTTGTTGTTATGTTGTTAACAATATTGCTAATTTGTTGTAGAAGTGACGTAATTCACAAATCTTGATTTTAAGAGAATCAATTTCGAATGTTTCAAATTGGTACAACTTTGCAACAATATCGCTTTTCTTAAAACTTCAATACAAATATAGAGTTAATATAATGACGTCACAAGTGCTATCACTTTATGTTTTATGAAAAGTCACTTTACAAAGACTTATGAAGTCTTAGCTATGTCGTTGTTGCAGTAAATAGGCAATACAAAACGATAAAATCATTCGAAACAATTTAAATATTCGAGAAAGGATTATAAATAAACTGTAGTCATTAATTTACCTATTTTCTATTTCTACGATTGCATTGTAATATGATATGTTTATTTAAAATATGTTAACCGCATTTACGCTGATAAGGATACCAAAAATTTTCAATATTTTTACGTAAATAAAAAAACAAAACTACTGCAAAAAAACTAACCCAAACCATCTGTAGTTCCTGGGAAGGTTGCTTGTCCGCGTCTTGTGTCGTAATGGCTATTGGCAAATTGTGTGAAAGTCTTTGACAATTTCTTGTGTCTTACTACAAAGTACGCCAGCGCAGATCCCAGAACAACGATGAGTAAACAAATCGGTATAGCAAAAGACAAAATGTTGTTTGTACTTATTGTCACTGGTAACGCCAATTCTGAAACAAATTGCACAGAATGTAAATACTGTACTAAATAATAACGTCAAGAACAGTGAAAAGTGGCGCATTTGAATATTTAAAAATACTTGAAAAATATCAAACCATAATTTCCATTTTTTTTCTGATTCACAACCTCCTTTTCAAAGTTTATTTTGTTCAATCTCTCCTATCTCTGCTATACAAATTTTCAAATCTACTTATACATATATCAACTCAAAAGAAGCCATTAGTTTTATTTGCTAAAACTGTTGTATCTCCTTAAATCGCCAAAATCGTTTATAAAAAGAGATGATTACCATTAGGAGCTTTAACGCTGACAACCTCACTCAGACGACTCTTGTGACCCTCATAGGTGACTATACGAACAGCGAAACTATAAATGATATTCGGCTTGACATTCATATAAGTGTACGGTGGTTCATGAACCTTGAAGATTGTAGCAGTGGATTCGTTCATTTTTTTCGATCCTTCCATCACTAAAATTTCATAATGGTACTTCGAGTTCTCCAAATCTCCAGGTAGATCATGCTCCTGCCAAAATAGAACGTACGCCGACTTCTCGGGTACAACCAACAGCTGATGGGGTGGCGGTATCGCAATGGCCGTGTAGATGACCGGTCGACTTGGCACGGCATTTTCAACGTCCGTGGCTATAACTATATTATACGTGCTGCCATAATTTATAGAATTAAACGTGTGATTCATTATTGTTTTATCTGTTGGTGGCAGAGTTACCGCAAAATGCTTATTCAACGTTAGCTCAGTGACAGTGATCTACAACAAAAATAACAACAATGCACTTGTATTAGCAATTGTGTATTACCCTCCGTCTCCTCTTGCACTACCACATCACACAAGTTTTGTCTGAAAGATTTTTGCAAGAGTTTACAGGAGATTCACGTGTTCCGAATTAAACCATACACTGTATAAATAAGTATTATACTAAAGCAATTTGACGAAGATAGGTAACTTTTTAAAACAATAAGGTAAGCCTCGCACACATTATATAGAATTCACTTTTAATAGAAGAACATATTCCATCTATGTTTTTTTATGTATTGTTAACAAAATCGCAAAATGAAAAAACTCACCGTATATGCGATAGGCGAATCGATTACATGACAACTGGCAGCCCAAATAATAGTTATAGTATCATCCTTGTCAGACGGCAGTACACGTACATCTGTTGGTGCGGCACGTGGATTGAAACTCGTATGCACATGATGTGCAAAGCTCAAAGGACCACTACCATACGGTCCATAAACTCCAACAGCAAACCTATATGTCTCACAAGTATCTAGATGCTCGACTACCGCGTACAGATGTTTCGTGAGCAATTTATATTCTGGAAGATTAATTTGTAAACCATTTATATCAAGTTTTCATGGCTGCATAAATATACAAAAGGTACATCTTTTATGATTAACCACCATTTTAACAAAAATATTTTCGGTCAACAAGAAATCAGGATTACCTCATCTCTTTCAGATGCAACCATATATTTTCAACATTATTCAGTAGTAAGTTAAAATGTTAACATGGAAAATTATTTGATTTCGAGCAAATTATACAGTGACTCTGATTAATATTCGCACACATTTTAAAATGCAATAACTTAGAACTGGGCTAAACGACTCATATTAGAGTCATTGTATGTCAAAACAACACCGAGATTGCTAAACTAATTTTATTAAACAGATTCGACGATGCTCAGAAATAATGTTAATCTCACTTTCTATATGTAATTTGTTTAAAACAAAATTTTACATATTTTCGCTTTTATACCTTATATAAGAATTCCTGTGTTCAAAATACTCTCAAACTGCTGATATAATCGGTAGTTAATATCGTCCTATCGAAGTTGAAAATATATGATGCCATTTTTGAAAAGACGGGTATCCTCAACTTTTTATTAAAAAAATCATCAAAAGCTGTTTAACTCTTTTCAAAACAATTTTTGTTATATAATGCAATATCAAAGATTGAAGCTTACCGTCAAAATAATGCCTAAAAAACAATGTTGAATAATAAATAGCATACTGCCAGTCAATCTTTTCCGTTGAATTAGGCGGTTTCCAGTGCAATTTCACCACCATTTCGGGTTGATGTACTAAATGTGCTTCGAAACCTTCGACTAATGGCAATGGTTTGCCTTCTGTTGTTGCGGATATGGTGGCTGCTTTTCCAATGTACTCTCCAATAATAACCGCTTCAACTTCGATATTGTATTTGACACCGGGAGACAACTTGGTAATTTTGATAGTGTTACGTGGCGTTTTCATTGGCGGTAAATTCTGATACGACAAATCCATCGCTCTCGCTGTCACCGAATATTGATCAGCATTCTTGATAGCTTTCCAGGTCAATGTGATGGAATGATTGGTGGTTGCTGCTACAGAAAGCTGTTCGATGTTGTCTATGTTCATAGATCCATCGAAAGTCAACGTGACCACGTTTGAGGAAGCTGATTCGTAATCCTCATTTTTAGCAATCACCCAGAATGAATAGTTTTGGCCTGATTCGAATGCCATGTCTATCACTGCTGACGTCTTCGCTTTGAAGAACTGTACAGGTGGTACAGGTGGTGTTACGAATCCTATGTATCCAACTATAGGTCCGTTTGGATGCGAAGGTGGTAGCCATTGCAATTCCACCCGAGTTCCATGACTCTGCTTGACAGTAAGTAATCGTGGTTCAGACGGTGCACCTTTTCCAGTATTAACGATCAAGTATTTTGCTGGTGGGAAGACAGTAGTCTGTCCTTTCACTCTGACATAGACAGTAACATTGTATTGAGTATAGGGTTCCAAGTTACTGAACTGATAAGTCATCTCCTCGATCCACTTGCTGGAATTGGTCCACTTAGGAGGCGAATTTGTTTGCGATACATTTGCGATGGAGGGCATAAATTCGAAGGTGACGTTAAATGGAACCGGTATCCACCAGAATAAAAGGAGTCTCGTAGAGCTGACCGAACGTTGATCGACGCCCATTACAAGTACTTGGTAAATGCGTGAGCTGTTTTTTCCACAGTTGCTCTCGTCAAAGCCGTCTACGCAGTCCGGCTTACCGTCACAGTAAGCGGCCAGTGGGATGCAATTGATTTCGTCACAAGGGAATAAACCATCGTAACAAGAAGGCGTGGCCGCCGGACTGATGTGTAACTCGGTGGTACAGCCATACTCGTCGGTACCATCAGGACAATCTTCAAAACCGTTACAGACATCTCTGATGCTTATGCAAGCGCCATCCAGACGACATTTAAATTGGCCTTCGTGACAAAACCCCTGTTCTGGGACGCAATGTGTTTCGTCCTCTGCGGTACGACAATCGATCGAGCCATCACAGACCCAAGCGTTTGGTATGCAATCGCCGTTGAAACATTGGAATCTGTTTTCGCTGCACACTTTCGGTTCCTCGGTGGTAGCCACCGTAGTGACGGGAAGTACGTCGTCGGCATTTCCGCAGCCAACTTCGTCAGAATCGTCGCCACAATCATCCACGCTGTCGCATTTCCACCAATAAGGCACGCATTTGTTATTGTCGCACATGAACATCCAATGATTGCACGGGCTGCTAGGCATCGTTGGGTTCGGTAGCGCCTCTGGTCGAACGGTAGTAGTACAGTTCACCTCGTCCGAGCCATCGGGACAATCTCTGTCCCCGTCGCAGACGAACGATTTATAGATACATCTATGATTGCCTTTGAACGCGTTACAGGTAAACTGCCAACTCTCGCAGACGACGCTACTGCAATCTTCCTCGTCCATGCCACCCTCGCAGTCCGGTTCGCCATCACACTTCCATACGCTTGGCATGCACGTGTGATCCTGTTTACAGAGCATTTCGTCGGATCTACAAGTGTTTCGCGCTACCTTCTCCGAATTGTACTTGCAGAACCACTCGTCTGAGAAGTCCTGACAGTCGTTATCACCGTCGCAGACCCATCCATGCGATATGCATCTGCCGCCGTCACACCTAAACTGTGAACTCGTGCAGGTGGAATAGTTGCAGTTCATCTCGTCCGTGCCATCCCTACAGTCTTTGTCTATATCGCAGAACCAGGATGGGGAAATGCATTTGGTGCCATTGTCGCACTCGTAGTTCGGGAAACAGGGTTTTAAGGGACAGTGGAGCTCGTCGGAACGGTCGCCGCAGTCGTTGTCGCCGTCGCAATGCCAGAACGCGGGTATACATACGTCGTTATTGCAGGCAAATTGATTGGCAGCACATGTATTGGTTACCCGCGGGCACGTAGAATTCGGATACGGGATGTTACCCTCCGGACACATGCACTTGTGGTCTATCATCACCATCCCGTCCGGGCAAAGACACGAGAAACTGTGTTTCGGCGCTCCCACGCAAATGTGTGAACAGGTGTTGTTCTCACAAGCGTTCGTGCCCTGCTGAATGCTGTGTGCGTACACTTTTAAATCCATCAAGCCGGTCAACTCGCCCATGATGGAGGAGATACCTACACCGTAGTCCTTGTCCGCGACGAATATCATTGACTCCCTCCAATCATCCCAGTACATGTTATCCTTGAACACAGCTACAGCGAACGGATGGGACACTCGTTCGTTCTCCGATATAACCTTCTTGAACTTTTTGCCGTCGAAGTCGCTTGAACCAATGTAATCCTGTCTGGCGTCCACCCAGTAGATCCTTTCAGCTATGTGGTCAATCGTTATACCGTTTGGCCACTCGACAACCGGTTCGACGAATAATCGTTTCACATCCGTTCCATCCAGATTAGCTCTGGAAACAGAGGCATTGCCCGGGGCCCAATCGGTCCAAAACATGTAACCGTTCATCGGATGAACCGCGATACCTCTCGGCTTTTGAAGATTATTGGGCCCGAGAATAGTCCTTCGCATCCTTCCCATGGTAGATAAGTCGGTTCTGATCACTTGGATTCTCATCTTGACACCATCCACAAAGTATAACAGGTTGGACACCCAGTCGAACGCCATTCCCTCGATGGAACTGAGATCGGTCTCAACTAGAATTTCAGGGGCGTTTGTACCATTGAAACATTGTCTACCAATCGTATCATTCACAATGTCTGCCCAATACAAGCAGTTATTTCTCATATCGAAATCGATAGATATAACATTTTTCAGGTCATGAACCGGCAGCTTTTCCAGCTTTTCTTCTGTCAGATCGATGCGCGATATATGTTCCCGTTGCGCAACAAGTAAAAACTGTGGCACCTCTCTTATGGGACACGGGATCAGATCTGGTTCAAAATATCTGGACGAGCCAAAGACACACTCGTCATCGGATATCTTTACATAGCCCTTAGTCCGACTGTAAACCTCGCCCGGTTTACAAGTGCTCGGTATAGCATAGGGATCGTAATCAATCATAGATTTATTACGAATACACGTATACGGATTTTCCTCTCGTATAAACCCGAATTCGCATTGGTAATCCCTGGCGTCGCATTGACACGAAATCGTTAGAACAGGTTTAGTGTGATCTAGGCCAATGTAACAGTTTGCTCGTGAAGCTCTTCTATTGAAAATTTCCTTCCGTCCCAGTGTGCACGATTCTTCTTGTTCCCTGTACGTAGGAAACCAGTATTTAAAGTCATCTTTGGTGCAATTTCTATCAAATACTTTCTGCAAGTCGACTTTGATTATAAGCCACTGATGTTGTCCGCTGTCCGAACCAAACATCGTGAATACCGTCGTGTTCTCTCCTGGTTCAGTCATCAACCCGTACACTTTCAACATTTTCTCGTTGAACGTGTACGATTGCCAAACTTCACCTTCGTTAACAGAATAAGAGAGATCCCTTGTTTCGCCACGCGATTTGAAATATTTTACAGCTACCAATAAACCGCCGTGATCGCCCATGTTGAAGAAGTAATAGTCTTTAAGGACTTGTTTCCACGACAAACCAGCGTCCCTGGACACGTAGAGCGCGGGATGACCTTTCAGATTTTGTCCTATTACACCAGTAGCCATTATAATACCAGGAGCCGACTTCGAACTCATAATAGACACAGATCTAGTCACAGGGTACAGCTGACTGAAACGTTGACTCAGGTGCAACGAACAACCTTCGCCGCAGTGAATGTGAAATCCTTCGGAATTTACTGTAGGTGTCTTGATGGGCTTCCACGTTGATCCATGGTCAAACGTTATCAGCGACACCAAATGTTCTGGTCCAATTGTGCCCGATTTTGGTGTTCCTTTTACTTGAGATGCTATATAGATACCGCGAAGACCCTCGACCTTGTACAGATCAGTAAATGTTTCATCGGCTACATCACTGAAAACGGGAAGAATATGTAAACTACAGTAAAAGAGAATAACAGGATTCCTGTTAACTAAAATAATGCTTACTTCAACCAGCTGTCTTTCCATGTACCATTAGGGAAGAAAGTGAGTATTCCTTCAAGTGATAATGTGAACATTGCCTTTTTCTCATCTATAACCTCCGATACATAAAGATTTACTAGAGTTTCGCTGTGAGCAACTGTGACAAAGACTCTATTGTGTAAAACGTCGACGATGTGGTAATTCTTACGAGGTAAGCTTGAGCTGAATTCAGCCTTCACAAAACTGTTGTTCTTGTACGATACAAAAAGTTCCAAATTCTCTGTGCCATTCTATTGTGAAACAAATTACTATAATATTTGTACGCTTGAATGAATTCTACTATAAAATATCAAAATAAACGTAAACATATACTGTACCTTTATGTTTTTCGATGTTGCAAATCTATAATCACCTCTGATTTGAAAATCTTCAACGTTTCTTATCACAATTTTCAAAGCACGGTCCGCTATTATTATAGCTTGTGAATATAAAACCGAATTATAAAAATCTGGCCATTCTAAAACAGTATTTGATCCAGAACGCCCTATTCGTTCAATTATTAACGAGGACAAGGGTGACCAAAAGAATGCTTTCACATATGGGTATGTTGCTACCCAATTTCGTCCCTGATTATTTGACAACCATAACTACAATAGAACAAGAACATATTTATAGAACAATAACATATAACTCTTTAGTGAGAACATATATAATTAAAAATTAAGAATCTTACTTTGCGTTCTGGATCAGTTTTGTCAAGAGCAAGGAGCACTCTAGCATCCCTTTCGTGAAATGTAATTTCAGTTGGATGAAACGGAAGTTTGAGCCTTTGAATGGTTTCTCCATTATTTCGTGTAAAGAAAAGTAAACTATTCGCACTATCCACAAAGATACACTGGAAGAGACAGTACACAATCGATATTAGTAAATATTTTTAGTAAATAAATATAATATTCATATGTAAACTTACAAAATTATAAGATTTTGGATGATTTATGAATTTGTCCAAAGATGCGTAAGGTGCATTGTCATCAGAAGAGATTCTAAAGGATTCAGTTTTGTTTACAAATGTATCTCCATAATCATAACTTATGTAGACAGCACTGGGATTGCTGGACACATAAAGTTTATTTAATTGAAGACGCATCATAGGTGTACTATCTCTTGCTAGGCATATTATTACATTAGATCCCTCTCCAACCCAATGCACCATCAATTGTTGATGAGAATCATTTAAAGCATTTATCTGTAAAAAGAAATGTTAAACCGATTATCAAAGTTATTAATCAAAAGAAATCAATCATAGTATAGATAAGAATAAATTGATAATAATTGTTATCAGAATAAAGTATAAAAAATATGATTTCTCGCTTTTACTTCATAAATTGCACAAAAAGCACACGATAAAGTGCTCAAAAGCACGCGCAAAGGCATTTGCATAAAACAACATAAAAAGAAAAGAGTTGCTTTATCGAGAATAAATTGATGGATATAACCGATGACTCATAGTAAGTAGTTTGCATTTCTTGGAAAAATTATGACTTCATGTTCAATTATGACATAACAAATATGTATATAATATGGTTATTCTTGACGCATTACTTTTACTTCTTTTTATCTTACCTACTACTTTTTTTCAATAGCTAATCTCATAATTATTTGTAATCGATCGTAATTTATTAGAACTATTTAAATAAAGATGCATCTATTACGCCTACTTTTAAGGCAAGCATATACATTGCAACAGAATTTTGTTATTATCATGATTGGTAAAATACTCTTTTATACTACAGTTTATTTCATTGACACGGACTGCTGTCACATGCTTCTTTGTTATCACTGTGTTCAGGGGCATCTTCCTATGACTAATTGTCATGTACTGCTGTATCATACTCCTTTAGACAAGAAGAATTCAAAACAAAGATAAAAAATAATGTCGCTTATTAAAGTTTACTAAAACACGATTCAATCATGATTTCAGTTAATGGAATTCAACAAACTGTTATAAAAATAATTTAAATACGATCGAATACGGAAATGTATACATCTTGTCTTTGCGAGTGTTGATACGAGGAAATTTCATTTATTCGAAGACGAAAAAGTATCTAAAATTTTTTACATGGCGGTAGTGCATATACATATGCAATCAAAACATTGTTGATACTGTTTCATTCGATAAGTAATAATCAAACAAGAATAAACGGAGATTTCATTTTACTGTATATTTAAACGTTCGTTGAAACTCGAAAGAAAACGAGATAAAAGGATTAAAAGAAGCAAATAGATAAATAGAAAAAAAGCACGTTGATCGGAAAATAAAGAACTATTCAAAGCGGTTACTGACCTCTGCATGTCAATAACAGAACGACTATGACGCTACGGTGCGTTTCGTCAAGATTGATTAAATTTAGTCCGGAAGGGACATAATATGGCAATTACAGGCTTCTATGGTCGACGCACAAAGACCGCGTTTGTAAGCCGGCCTTATTAGCTGGCATATGAAATTCTGAAAATTCTGGTATCTCGCGTGAACCCACCAAGTGCGCAACCGAAGATAAGGCGACAAAAACAAAACGCAAATTATGCGCGAAACTGGTTAATGGCATTTCCGCTCGTCGAGCTTGTTTGGTCCGGTTAGCCTGTATACGATACTAACCAACATGATTGCGTACCTTCGTTAGGATCTTCGGATTATTAGTCGGCTGTGTCGGAGGGACATCCCTGCGGCTTCGACTCGATGACGTTTCGCTGGTATCGTCGTGCAAATACTCATTTCGCTCAATGACAAGCGGCTGTCTGCCCCGGAAAGAATGGTCGTCTTCCAAAATGTGAAGCGTGGTCGCTTTGTCACCGAACCTTAGTCCATCATTCAATCTTGTTAATAGTATCAAATGTAAAATAACCGCGGAATAACGAAAGGCCGAACTCGTCCGGCCGGCCATCTTGCTCAGACTGACTTTCTTAAATGGCCATTTACGCGTATATATGCACTCACTCATGTACAGGGTGTCCTAAAAGTCCACCAGTTCTCGTAATAACACCACTTCGAATACGCATTTGTACAAGTTACGCTATAATTGGCAATTGATTATCCAAATAATGGAACAGCGACGAAAAATAGTTCATTTAATTTCGAATAGGAGTTCATTTTTCTAAATGCGATTCATTGCTCGGAAAGAATTCTTCTAGATTCTCGAATACAGGTTATCGAAAGTTTTTAATTATACACATGATATTCTCGTCGATCTGATTTTTATATTTTCTGTAAAAAGTCGAAACTTCGTAAGGATAAAACGGTATAAATTTATTTAAATTTCATCAAATAACCGCGAGGACTGTTAGAACACCATATGTGAAGAGTGCGTTTCTATGGAATCTGGAACCTTCCGCGAATTGGGTAGACTGCATGCTCGAGAAATATTTTGTGTGCAATATATGTGTACACACTGTATGCAGTATATATCGACGATTGAAATCACTGGCTACTGTAAACAAAGGCATGCGTAAAATAGGAAAATTGTTCGGATTGATATTTAATAATACAAGCATAGCGTTGATAGAGATTTTGTCACTAAATAAATTTCTTAACGAGCTCTTATCGTGGGGAGTGATAGCTCATTAAACCCAGTGCATTCGAAGGTAATGTTACACGACGCTGATACAATGTTGGACAAATAATAACACGCATTACATCTTCATGTATCTCGTATATTTAAGGGCAAATCATGCACTCTGTAATTTTGCATACTGTCCTCAAGGTAAACGTGCAAAATTTTCGATTTTTATGTCTTAGGTTAGGTTTTTGCTTACTTTCGACTGTCGAAAAGGTATAAATGTACGTCCGGATAACGTACGTTTGTATATCATTATCTGTAATTGTTTGTAGCTTATAACAAGGTCAACCGATTTCGATGGAATATTCAGCGTGCATATGTACAGTGCAAGTTACCTAGATTAACAAAATGCATTTCTTCAATGTTCGTTATACGATCAAATAAAAAAGTTAAAAGGAAAGATGTTTTTATATATTTTCTGTCATTCTGATCAATTTCTATTTCTGCACAAATTTTCGTACACTGTACTTGCCGCAATTCATGCGACCTGATAAAAAATTTATCTCTGTTCTTCAATGATAGCCAATACCGGCCTATACCATTACGCTAGTGTGGCTCATTTTCAAATGAGCCACCAACAACAAGTTAAACACAGTCTTTCTTTTTTCATTATATTATGTAAATAATAGTCTAATTATGCAAATAATATTATGTAAATAATAGCCTATAATCCAGACTATCAAAATTGAACTCATTTTTACACTAAACATGATCTTTCTTCATTTTTAATCGGTAAACGTATTCACGAGCAAAATGCAATTAATGCTTCTTGCCTTATGGCTCTCAAGAAGTTAGTCTCAGTAAGGGAGGCCTATGCCTTTTTTAGATTTAATATGCTTCTTTCCTTCAGAGGCGGATTAAGACTTTTGCCGCCCCGTAATAAAGCGAAAAGGTAAGAAGAAGGGTGATATAAATCTAATATTCTATATTATAAATCTATATATAATATTATTATCTATATATCTATATATAATACTATTATAAATCTAGTATTTTGAATTCTTATTCAAAATTTATTATTATTATGATAATATTATTATCATAATATAATGTTATCATATTATTATCATATATTATTTTGAATTCTTATTCAAAATACTAGATTTAGCATTTTTAAGGAAAGATATATTATTTATTATTTAAATGTTTTTGCGTGCTAATAAGGTGTCGATCTCCACCAAATGATTAGTCCAGTTGAAATGTAATATAACGGTCGTATGATTTTGTAATTAATGTAATATTGTGTATTTGTATTAATATAATATTAAGGTCGTATGATTTTTTACTGTGTATAGAAAAACCTAAACCTAGGAATTCTCGTGAAAAATCCCTAAATCCCTAAAATCGGCTGCCCTAGGCTAAAGCCTATTTAGATTATACATAAACCTGCCCCCCTCTATCTTTCTCTGTAATTATACTACATATACAGGGTGGATCAGAATCCGTAGTAAAACCGAGCACAGTTCATAGTTCGCAACAATTAATATTTGTAAACACTATCTCGGAGGCAACTGCGGTAGGAGAATAGACCACAACTAAATTCTTCACAAAGATGTACAAACTTTAAAGTCCATTTTCTTGAAAACAAAGCCACGGCTGAAAAAAGGTGATACCAAACTTTTTTCTTATTTTTTTCACGTAGTGAAAATACCCTGTATTTCTTAAACCTAGTATAGTACTCCTACTTCTTTTGTGTTTTACCTTGCGTGCCTCTGGGTCTTTCTAGAATTTTTCAGATTTTTAGTTCATCATATATATATGGCATAATAGCTTCTATTTCATTTTTCTCATAGACCCTTCTAATAGGACTTCCGGATCTGATTTGTTGTGTGCCTAAATCTTTATCGACCAAACTAATTTTTTTTTGTTCAATCAATATACAGTCGAAGAATCGACTTTCCATTTAAGGGACGATGTTATTCGAATACGAGCCGGAAATGTGAAAATTTCATGGAATATCTTAACCCTTTTACTGCCTGTGGGCCGATATATCCGTCCCGGTACTTACATATGCGAGAACTGCCACCGGCCGATCTCACGCTACTCTTAATTCTTATCTCTAGTGCCAAGTTTTTCGTGTTTCTCTTTGGTCGTGGAAGTTCATCCATTGTTTTCTCTTCCATGCTTAGTCAGTTCCGAGTATGTACTTCTGTAGTAAAAGTCGAAGCGTACATATAAAACTATACGTGGCTATTTGTGTAGATCTACCTGTCATTAAAAGTTTTAAGAGCCGACGTGTACAAGTCATTTCCCAGCCACGTTCTAGCTGCAAAAATCACTGTTTTTCCACATTTATGATTTTTCTTATATATTATATTTCTATATATATGATATTATATTATAATAGTATTATATTAATAATTTAGTAGTAAGTTATTTAGAGTAAGTATTAGTATTTAGTATTTAGT